AGCTATTGAGTAGAGATAGTCGGGTAATTACACATAAAGATACAAATTATAGGTATTTTTGTATCTTAAAATGACATGCTTGTTTGTTTGTTTGTCTGTTTGTTTATCAGGTAGAGAGAGGCACATACCATGGTGTGGTTCTCATGTAGACAACCTGGAGGAGTTAGTTCTCTCCCCCCTGGGGATGGAACTTAGGCGTTAGGCTTGGAGCAAGTGCCTTCACCCCTAAGCCACCTCACTGCCTCTCTACACGCGTCCATAGGGACACACACAATCACACACATAAGCCAACCACGCAGAGCCTGCAGTGCTCGCCACTACAATATTAAATACAATATTATATACACAGAATATAGACATAAGCTTACACATATCAACAAGTAAAATTGTGTAAGTTTCTGTTAACTGAACACTTTCTCAATGTGCTTTTGGGAAACATCATTTAATTATTTGTCACAATTAATCGTAATCACAAATTAATTGTGCCTTTCCACATGTTGGACCTTATGGTGCAGTTCAGTGAACAGCTGGCGTAATAAGGACAAAGAGTCCGTGAAGTTGGGAGGGAGGGTCCTATTGGCATGCCTGATGCTATCGCTCACGTTGTGCACTTTTAGGGACCTGACTTACCACCCCCAGTGAGGTCCCTGGGCATGGCCTCTCTAGTGAGAAAGATGGTTCTGAAATGCAAAATCAGCCATTTGCTTCACGGACGCCTTACACAGCACTGTGATCTTGTTGCTCACGTGTGCCCTATTTTTCTGGGTACCCTTCCCTTGCTCCTTACCATCAGTGGCCATAGCCATGGGCCAAGCAACCCCCTTCCCTGGCACTGCTGACCACAGGGTCGCTGCAGTCCACCCTGTCTCTGGAGAGCTGGCTGGCTGGAGATGGTGCCCACTCTGCCTCTCCAAAGAGCCGTCTCCCTAGGGAAGGGCTGCACTTGACCTTCGCCTGACCTGAAGCTCCATGGTCCTCCACCTTCACTCCGAACCCACTCTACCTGCTACCTTTCACTCCACCAATCACATAACTTTATGCTTGCAGTGTGGCTCTGTGGACAAGCAGCTCCTCCAGGTCCCTTGGTCGTTTCACATGGAACTTTCATCCAAGGACCTCTCTGCCTACAAACCTGGGACTCCGTGTCTCTGCTCAGATCTTCTGCCCCACGATTCCTGCTCCACCTGGGAGTCCTCCATAGCTCTGTGAGAATGCCTTCATCCCACCCACAGACACTCAGAGCTTCTTTTATTTCTCTTAGCTCTGCCCCCTGACCAATCACACATGGGCCATCTGCCCCCTAAAGTATAGCTCCCTAGACCACACCCACTCACCTAGCACATGTCACAGCTGTTTATCACTTCCTTCCCAGTGGATTTCCTTGAAGCAGCAGCTTAGGCTCCCCTGCCCTGTCTCTTCCTGCACTCTCCCAGCTCACCTCTACCCCCCCCCCATGGAACTGTCTTAGCTAAAGTCCCCAAGGCCAGAGAATCTTCCAAATCCAACCACAAGTTCTGTCTTCACTCAGCATGTCATGGATTCCCAACTCTGAAACATTTATATTCGACGAATTCCCAGTTTGTGTCTTCTATGAAATGGTTTCATCTTCTTCCAATAATTCCTTTTTATAAAAGTACATTGTAAATTGTGACCTTGTAAAAGAATTTAAAGCACAGAGAAGATTGTGTTTATTGGCCCCTGTTATATACTTGCCCTTGGTAGCCTTGCCCACTGTCTGAAGCCTGTCCTCCTGATAATGCTGGTAGTGCTATCATCCTTGCCATTCCTACCCACCTGCTGTCTCTGACTCCTCCTACCTCTGGGCATCTCCACTAAAGGCCTTCAAGGTGGCCAACCAGGCTGACTAGCTCCTACTCACCCACTTCCCTCTTAGACGTGTTCCTCATCTGTCTTGTTGGCCATGTTGACACTAGGGGACTTTCCCACTGTGGATCAAGACCTGCTAATCTATCTTAGAAATAAGTCACACTATTCCCCTCCCCCAGCCCTCTCATCTCATGAACCTAACTTTAGTGCAGCCTTTTATCCTTCCCTTGATGCATCCCCTTCCCTGCCTCTCATTGACCCTTTAATCTCTGCCTGCGAGTTGTCTTTGCCCCACTAAAATCCTACCATGTCCCCTTCCTTGTGGGAGGACTTGTGGTCCCCTAAATGCATGGCGCCCAGACTGTAACACGTGCCACCAGGACCTGCTTATTCCTCGTCTCCCGAACACTACTTGCCTGATTTTCCAAGCTGAACACCCTGTCTTTCCAGGATGCTCCTGCAGTGATCCCTGCCCATGGCGCTAATTTTAAGTCACCCAAGGCTCCACCAGTGTGATCCCTCTTCTGGTCAGCCTGCCATGACCTCTGCTCTCTGGTGAGCCTGGCCCTCTGTGCATGCCTCTGTCATATTCTGCTAATACTGTTTGCTCACCCCACTAGCCTGCTGTGAATGCCTAGAAGGCTGGATGCTCTGGTCTCTCCCCGACCTGGACTTGGTAGACGCCTCCCTCGAGAAAAGTCTCTGTGAGTACTCAACTTCTCTTGCCTACAGAACGTGCTCCTTTGTACAAAGGTGGTGTTCCGGGCTTCATCAAAATTCACTAACACAGCCAGCAGTTGAATAAACACTGCCACAGACACAGGACACAGCACTCAGATAATTTCAACAAACATTTTAGTTCAAGAGCTGTCACTCAGTTGCTTTAAAGCGAGCCAAATGAAGTTCCCATTCTAAATTACTCAGTGTCCTCCAAACTTACTGCTTAGTGGACCTTCCTCCAGAGTAGACCCAGTATCTGAGCTAGGGTGTGTGACCCCACGAGCAGGCAGTAAGGTCAACCGCCACGGCCACGCACCATACAGAGACAGTCTGACTGACACATCTGCACACAGTTTGAGTCTGACACAGCAGCTAAGGAAGGCCAGCACCTTTACATCACTGACATCTGAACAGCCTCCAGGCTCTGCACAAAGCCTGAGAAATTTGGAAATGCAAGCAGTGGAGTTAGGATTGGAACTCTGACCCAGGAGACAAGACGTGGGCAACTCAGAATGTTAAACTATATTAAAATGTATGGCTCTGGGGCAGAGATCAATTTATTTCATTCTCTACAAAAAGCCTGCCTTAAACAATAGTGAGAAATAACGATTGGCCTGAGTACACAGAGCAGCCTAGAGATTCCCAGGGCTTCCCCATCCCCGCCAGGCCATTCACATGGAGGAGGGGAAAACAGGAGGGACTTCCAGACACTTGTAGACTTTAAAACCAAGAAAAAAGTATCTGACACTTGTGAAACTGTCAATCACAAAGTTGGCAATGTGGGTCTGCCTCTAAATGCTCTCCTGACTCACTGTGAAATGCAACTGTTAATTCAGTTTCTTTCAGCCCATGTGCCATGGTGGAAGAGTAGGAGACAAAGGCAGGATCCGTGTTTCTTCCATTCTCCTTCTGTCTAAGCCTGTTCTCCAGCTGCCGCTCCACCCAGGCTCCTCTCTGGTCTCTCCATCCTTTCAGAGCTGAACAAGGGGCAGCATCACACTGGCTGCATCCCCTTTTAAAATTATTTTTTATTTTTTAAATTTTTATTTTATTTCTATTAATTACAGTTCATTCACCTTGCATCCCAGCCACAGCCCGCTCCCCCATCCCTTCCCAATCCTACCCTCCCTACCTCCTCTTCCCCCATGCCCCTCCCCCAGTCCAATGATAAGGGAGGTCCTCCTCCCCTTCCATCCCACCCTAGTATATATCCAACAGAATCTAGGGGGAAATAAACAAGCAAAGAACAGGAAGGCTTTCAAGTTCTCAGGAAAAAAACAAGCACCACTGACTCAGAAACCCATGCGCCTTTTCTGAACATGGGCTGTTTTTTGGGCAAGCTCTGCAAGGTGCCCTATGGTCACCCCACCCTCTGAGAGCATCTTCGAGGAACTGCTGTACCAGCACTCTGCCTGCTCTGGCCTCTACCAACACCCTTTCTCCATATGTCAGATAATGTGAAAGAAGTAACTTCCTGTTGAGGGTAAGTCTATTTACAAAACAAAAATAATAGATCCCCCGGTGAGGCCTGTGACCTTCCAGGCCCTTGGCCAAGGTTACAGTACCAGGTGTGAGATCACTTTTCTTGAGCAGGCCTCAGGTCCAATCAGAAACCACTTGGTTACCCTCACAATATAATACTGTAATTATATATACTAGGCTAATACATGATATGATACTATTGATATATACATAATATAATATAAATACTCATATAATTTTTATATCAGTTGGGACATCTTGCCTGGCAAACTATGAATGGCTTCTCTGACTCATGTTTCTCCTCACTGAAGTCTTTACCTGGGATTCCTTCCTTATGGAGCTCATTGCCTTCCACCCCTGCTTGGGGCTGAGATAGCTGATACTATGTCCCTGTAGACCTGGCCACATGAGGATTATCCTCTTTTCTAAAGAGGGCAACCACATTCAGCAATGTCTCTCCTGCTCACCATAGTGCCCTCACCTTGGCTAGACTGATAGAGATGGCTGAACTAAACCAGAGCACAGTCCTTACAGTGACACATTATCCCAGGCTCGTCTTCTCCACCCCCTTTATCACCTGATTGGCTCCTTTATCTTGGAAGTCCTCAGATGAGCTCGGAACTATTTCGTCACTCCCCACCCCTGTCCTGTCCTGTTTCCAGTCTGTAACGACCTTCTCATTTATGTCAGTCAAGAACATCTTAGACAAAGAGCAGACTATACCACTGAGGTCCCCGACATCCCCTCTTCCTCACCTTGCAGGTGATGCCCATGTGTTCCTCCTGAATTACCAAGTTCCATGCCTTCGTCCTTAAGCACTTAGTTCTACTGGGCATGACCAATGACATTCTATGTCAGGGACCCTGTTTTTAAAATGTTTGTCTAATATTCTTGCTTCTCGAACCCTCCCTTGAGGCAAGGCTTATCTCCCTTGGTCCCCAGCCAGGTGTTTGGCCCACACAGAGACAGACCTTCTATACTTGCCAAGAGTTGCTCAGTCACACAGCCGCCCAAAGCATAGGCCCATCATCAGAATCCCCTGTCTCCAGGATAACTGCTGGTCCCACAGGACAGGAGCAACACTCAGTGTGGGGGGGATGATGGCTGGTCCTACAGGACAGGAACGACACTGGGGGGAGGGAGGTGATGGCAATTCTGGTACAGCCTCCTGAGATGGGTCTGAGACTCACATCTTTTCTTCCCTCTGTTTGCAACCTCCAGGAGTTCTCCTGGAAGAGAGAAAACAGAAGGCATCATTAGACCCTGCTGTGGATGGTAAATGTAGAGATGGTGGAATTCCACAGTATAAATTTCAGGGAAAAAAAACATTTTCTAACAGAAAAATGAATTTCAGCCAAGGGTAATAAGCAGGTGATGGCATTTTCCCCCTTCTGCTTCATGACGTCATGACTGTTCATGTGCATGTGTTCCTGACACTGGGAAACCTGCTCTCTAGGCACAGTGGACACTACATGTCCCTCAACAAAGAAGACATTCCGGAAAGTCCAGGCAGCTGAAGCCCATGGTACAATGGGCTCATGAGGCTTCCTCTCCCTGTGTATAATGGAGACTATGAAAGCTCACTCAGCTGGTCTGTCCAGACAGCCTGGTGAGCACACATATAGTATCTCCTCTCAAACATAGCTGATGTAGGCAGGGAAAAGAAACACAGAAAACAAGGTGTTCAATAACCAGAGCTCTTTAGACTATGCAGTCTGAAGGGTGGAGGAAGGAAAGCTGTGGGGCCTTGAGGTGTGGTGTGTTCTTCGCTGAAGGTATCCAGGGCTGGCATTGGTGGCAACATAAGCAAGGTCATCACAGGCCTGAAAAAGAAAAACGCACACCTGAAACAACCAGAGCAGACAAGATCAAAGGTTCTCAGCAGGAACAAACGGTAATTCCCGAACAGCACCGTGGCGCCCTGTGTGCAAGTACGGCGTTACCACATGGCACCCTCCTCACATGTACAATTATCCTATTAGGTTAAAAGTTAAAGGAACCCCTCAGATATAGCTACAAACTCCACCTACAGTGACTGAGGAGACCAAAGGGCAGAGTGCAATGTTGGTCTCTGGCCTTGTGAAGGTGATTTTTCTGTTCAGGGTAAAGGACAGATGAAGTTCTTACAGGCACCACACAGACTGAAGCCAGTGAATATCAAACTGCTACAGGCCCAACATTTAAGCACTGGGCTTGAGAGAGATGTTGGAGGCACACCCCTCAGTCGACCTCACTACAGTCCTGGGAAGAGAAGACTGTAGACAATCAAACGAGAGAACGTTCCTCATGTGTGGTCAGGCAGAAGAACGCAAAGGTGGACATTTGCAATTCATCTTTAGGGGCTGATGTGCTTGATGGCTGGGGATGCTGGAGAGAAGAGAGCAGCTAAGAAGGGCCACTGAGTGCCACAGTACCGTGGTTCTCCCAAGGATGAAGTCAGCATGCGCCCGTGAGCCAGCCTGACCAAAAGCAGATATAGTGGGATATCTCCCACCTCTAAGGCAGTCAGCCTAGATTCACTGTGATGTATTGGCACATCTCTTATGATCTACTAAAAAATTAAATTTTTCATTCATCTATTGTATTCAACAAGCACAAGTTGCAGGCCTGGATTATTAATGATGTCAGATCTTGTATTACCAAAACAAATGCATGGAGGTTCCATTTCTGATGACAAAGGAAGAGTCATTTGTTTCAATCATGGAGGACAATCTTATTAAACATTGCCAACTTACTGCCAAGCTGGCTGCTCACCAATGCGCAGCTACGGAACAAATGGAATCAGAGGACTGTCAATCTTCACATAGTGTCACTGTCCCCAAAATAATACACTTAGAGAAGCTGAATCTATTGTGACAGGGGCACTTTTGCTCCTTCACTCCGGACCCCTGAAAGGCAGAACTCCCACTGTCCTCTCCCGCAGGAACAAGGCTGTTTGGGAAAGCTAGGAAAGATGGGCTGACATGACCTTACCAGTACACACACTCAGGAAACCAACCTGACCCTTCCAGACAGTAATTTAGTGAAAAGAATAAAAAGACCCCGAGGGGAGGGGGTGGATTTTTTCATGCCTGGATGCAGTGTATCTTGGTCACACTTATTCCCCACCCTCTGCTTCCAACGCATCCCGTCTCCCCCACATCATCCCCATCTCCCTCCCAACTTGATGCCTTTCACTAATTAAGTCCTATTAGTTTTGCCCATGTGCCCACATGTGGGATCTTCCACTGAGACATTTCCCTCAGAGCAAGCCATAACTAGAGGTTTTCATTAGCCCCTCAGCTATGGGTGGGACATCAGGAGCCTCCTGTTATGCTGGGATTTTTCTCTCTGATGATCGTAGCTGCCTTGTGCAAGCAACCACAGCTGCTGTGAGGTCACCATGGCTGTCTGGGAGCTCCTCCATGCTACCCTAGCCCCTGAAAAGCAAAGTTACTCTCCTGAGTGATCCTCCAGGTAATACCAGCACCCTGAGGACAGAGGCAGGATTGCACCTCCAAGGCCAGCCTGAGCTACAAAGTGAAATCCTGCCAGAAAAGCAAGAGTCAGTTATTAAATAGCTCCCATTCTAACAGCTCAGAAATCAAACATACAATTTATTGCTCTCAGTGAATCTCATGGTACCAAAATAACTCAGACACACATGGTTTTGAGCTTAAGTAGAGAAGTTAAAACTGAGTACCATATAAAGAAACTTGTGAGTTTGATCAACCTTTAAATCGTGTCTTTCTAAGCAGGGCGCCACTGGGGGAGGCAAAGACAAGAAGGTCTCTGTGGGTTCAAGCCCAGCCTAGTCTATAAAGAGAGTCCAGGACAGCCAAGGCTACAACAGACAAACCCCCTCTCAAAACAAAACAAAACAAAAAAGGTCCTTCTAATCAGCTGGCAAATGCTGAGATGGCTTCAAGATGTACTAAGTTTAGATCATGATCCAACAAGCCTTCTCTGTGTTCTGCTTTAGAAAAGATGAGCCACAAACCAAGGTTTTGGGATCTTGGACATATATAAAATTTCCAGTTAATTAAAGTGAGTTCACCCGCCTCCTGTGTGCATATAACACCAAGGTCAGAACTCTTGTCGGGCCAGCGGACAACTTCTCTTACCCTGTCATTTGTCGCACACACCTGGAGCAGTCTCACAGTTTGTCCCTGAACCCTGCACACCCTCCGAACAGAGCTGCATGTGCCAGCTTTGTGGTTGTTTTGCAGTTCACAGAACAGGGCAGTGTAGCTTCCTACTGTGAATGTGTCCATCTACAGAGCAGAGTCGGAATCCCTGGGTACATCAGAACACGTGATCAGCAGTTTCTCTCTTCTTTTGTTCTGATGCTGAAGATCAGTCCCAGGGCCTTGCTTTCGCTACGTAAGCAAGCACTCTACAACTGGACTCCATCACTGTGTTATTTTCATTCTGTGACATGAGCTCACTGAGCTCTCCAGGCTGGCCCACAGTGTGTTATGTAGTCCGGGCTGAACTTGAACACATGATATTCCTGCCTTGGCTTCCATGATTAGCCATATTTACGTCTTTTTATTTTCTATAAAGAATGGGAAGCATTCTGTTGGGTTAGTGGATGTATGCAGCTGAACAATCTACCAGTTGCTAGGCATGTAGGTGATTCCAGCTTGTCAGTATTGTTACCAGTTTGAGAATGATAGACCCAAGGCCCAATTCAGACACAGTCGCAGGGAAATACCTTCAACCGTGGAGGAACATTGTAGCAACATCACGTAGAATCCTTACAGGTCTAAAGCTCAGTGGAAAGCTGGGGTTCTTTACTGATTGTGAGAAGGAAGAGAGAGGGCTGAGGTTCTACCTGCAATGTAGAATAGGACAGAAAGTTGAAAAGAGAAGGAATCCTAATCCCTGTGTTCTTTTTACCTCTCCTTCATGCTCCTTGGTCTATCTTCTTCAACCCAAACCCTAGTCAAAGACCTGTACATTTCCCAAGGAGACTTTGTAGAAGGCTGGCCCTGGCCTGTGACCTCACCACTGACAGACACTTTCATCCATTACTCCTGTGCCTCCTGCATTTCTGTATTGATTGTTTCCATTCTATTTCCTAAAAGCACTCAGTTTTTTATTCTCTGGGGCTGAGTGAACCATGGCAAAGACTATGCAGGGCACTGGGACAACTCTGCCCCCACTGAGAGCATCTGTCAGCTGACTGCCACACAGAGACATGAGAGCTCAAGATAAATAAGGGCTGCCTCTGAGAGAGACAGAAATCTGCTCCCCAAGCCCCTCCTCTACTCCAAGTAGGATTTACTCCCAACATACCACCCATCCCTAAAATGAAGTCAGTATTCACCAGCCAGTGATGAGCACTCTGTGGCTCTGTCCTGTGCCTGGCCAGGTTGTGCCACCCCTGAAATGTAAGAGCTGACCACAGTTTTAATTGTAAATAGGAATTAGCATTTTCTTTACTACCAGGTCAGCCCCACTTAATGGACAATGGAATATAATTCTGGAATCTCTTCTTTCCTGGCTCCCTCACTGCTGCAGTTTTGGATCATAATTGCCTGGCAAAGGTACACATATAATACCAAAGCCTTGGTCCACTGCTGGACACTAGTAGAAATGGGAGGTGCCTTTAAGAGGTGGGGCTTCCTGGGGGTTTCATAGGTTGTTGGGGGCAGGTTCTTGAGAACCACATTGTGGAAAGGTTCACTGGACCTCACACGAAAACTATGATGGGCTTCTTCAGAGCCAGGGCACCCAGCCACCATCTCCAAAATCAACCTGTGTCTTCGTACTCTGAAAAGCTAACACACTACGGCAGTCCTAGTTCAAGCCTGCAGCCTCTCTCTTCTAGATGGTAGTGAGGCTCCCTGCAGTCTGCTTCCTCCTAGAAGCAGAGTCTGAGTCAGCCCTGCCATGACACCTCTTCACTGAGAGCTTCACTGGCCAATCACAGAACTTAACTTATAAGGGACCATGCCTGCTGACACAAATTATTGCCCATCCAGAATCAGGTTAAAGGATAATATGAGAACGAGCATCCAACAAACAACAGGAAAGTAAGATGCCTCCTACAAATGAATGGCCAATAAATCCTAAAGTATTCATGATATGGGATAATAGGAATCATTTAAAATCATTAAAAAGAACAAGGTAACGAGACAAGAGGATGTCCACTATATACATTAAAGTATGTATTTACATGTATACACATATACACATACATGCATATACATATGGCCTCTCACCCTCATGCATTCGGTGCTTGCCCCCACTTGGTGGTGCTACTATGTGACGTTCTAGAAACTTCAGGAAGGAGGACCTTCGGGAAGCCGGAGGGAGTGGAGCTCCGGGGTGTGTCTCAGAGCATTAAACATGGCCCAGTCCCTTTCTAGTTGTCTTTTTTTCTGTGTAATATGAGATAAAAATCTTCTCTGCCACTGTTCCCGCCATCATGACATCATGTCCATGTTCATAGGATACAATATTCTGAAACATGATAGAAATAAATCTTCCAGGAATTTGATCATAGTCATGTTAGAGCAGCTAACACATGTACCCTGTTTTCATGCTGCCCATACAACAGAAAAAATCAGAACAACTCATCAGACACCTGTGTCTACCTGTGGAGTAAAACTGAGGGATGAAAGGGGGATTTTTTTTTTAATTTGTCATTGTTTGATAAGATGCTCTGCTATTTAAATGCATGACGGTAAGTAGGTAAGACTTTATAAATTCCTCCATCAAGTAGGGGGTTATAAATACATTTATCCTGAGGGTCTCGTTTAGAAATCATTTATTTGTGATATATTAGGTATTCACAATACAATGTACTTGCTACATGGCATACTTACAGATGCAGTCTATAACAAATTTAGCTTTGCACTTTCCCAGAATGCCTTGCTTAACGCATGCTATGTATTTATACATGTAATTTTACATCCGTACTTTAAATACAGTTTCCCCAGTTAATGAACATAGGGGAGAATGACCATGACTTTACAGTAATGTACCCAATGATGTATGCAGGCTATACAGAATACTGTAGTTTGTTTATTCTCAGATATTACTTACGCAGGCAACCCAATGGGAAAATGACCTGGCCAAGTATGTCTGGATCACTGTCGTGGGAACCCCAAATTGCCAAGTGTTTCAAAAGGACAAGAATCATTCTACAGGGAGTGTGGAATTAGGTGTCGAACAATGTGCACCCACAGCTTTGACTGGTGCCCTGAGTCAGGGCCACTTCAGCGATTACACACAGCAGCAGGAAGGCCCTCTCTGATCCTGGAGAGCTTTACCTAGATGAAGCAACATTCTGAGGATCTTTTGGGGGTGAGGAAAGAAAATTCCAAGCCCTAACTTGCTTCAAGAGTATATTTGCTTTACATACATGCCTCCAAAATCCTGCCCAGGGAATAACAGGCATTAACAAGGACTTAGCTAAATATTCAAAATCTTACGGAGGCCAAAGCAGTCACCAGAGACAACAAAGAAATGCAAACCCAGCCTTTGCCCTCACAGCACTTAATCTGTCTCCCAAAGCCCAGATAGCTGCAAGATAGAAAGTCTAGGGACAAAATGGAACATGCCTAACCTCTTTTATAACAGTGTTCCTATTTTAACCCATGTCATCAGGGGAAATGGCTGAAAATAGTGACAAATACGACATCAATAAACATAATAATAATTGATTTTCCAGAGATGAAAAATTTGAAATTAGTGACCATTTCCCCCCAGAGCATTGGTTGATTAATTTAAAGTTTGTCTTAGTCTTTCAAAGACATCCTCTCCCGGAGCATCTGCCCTGCCAGCCGCTGTGATGGGTTTGTGGTTTTGGACCCCGCGGTTAAAGCATATTGCACATTTCTGCAGTTTTAAAGCGAATCTTGACAGTGTAAGAAGGACTGCAGCTAACAGCAAGACTTAAGTTTACTTGAGAATCTGGCTTGTAAGACAGAAGTTAGGGTTGGCCATTGTGTGTTCAACATGCCTGTGGCCTCCATGGTTTTAGAAACAGATTTTAAGAACTACTACCAATGTATGGCGGGAGAGATGACGCAGCAGTAAGAACACTGGTTGCTCTTCCTGAGGACCCAAGCCATATGGATGGCTCCCAACATCCATATTCGGTGTCTCAAAACCATCTGTAAGTCAAGCTCCAGGACAGGAGAGGCCTTCCTTTGGCCTCCACCAGAAGCAGGCAGGCATGTGGTACACAGACATACATGCAGACAGAACATCCACATACAGAGAATCAAAAATAAATGTCATTAAAAAGAAAATACTACAATGTTTTTTTCAGAGTGCCCAAAATTCACCAAAATAATTTTGGTGTCACAGTAGATTTTCGCTGAGCTAATTCAGAACTCTCAGCAGGGCACAGATAATGTTTAAGTGTTTCTGACTTTTTCCTTGTTCCTTCCTGTCTCCTGCCTTTTAAAACACCAAAACAATAATCTTCTTAAAGTCACAGGTAAACCACCCCAAAGTTGATGATGATCACCCCGACAGTGCAGCCATTGTCTCCTGCTCTAGACGTGAGTAGAGTTTGACACACGGGAGGGGTGATGCCCCAAGACCCTGTAGTTACTGAGCGAATCTGGGGGCATGGATGGAACAGCTTTCCCAGACACATCAGAGTCCCAGAATCCCCTCCTCCCATGGTTAGCCTTCCCTGGAGCAGCCAGGGAGGTCGCTACTCAACCTCATCAGTAACAACCCCACCTAATGTCCCCATAGCCCAAACTGACTCTTGCATAGAGCCCTGTGTACGTGTACACGGTAGCAGGGAATTTAAACCTTCTCTCACCTCCCAGCCCTTCCCTCACTCCTTGAGGCTCTGTGGTTGACCACTCTAAGCATGTGAAAGTAAGCTGCAGATAACACCCTAGGGACCAGGACTCTGTGGGTCTTTGTATCATCAGTCACCCTGAAGAGCCCAAGCTGTGTGCTTAGCAAATGGCTTCATGCCCCCCCAAATCCAGCTGCCTGACCTTAACCTTGACAGTGGCCCCTCCTGTTCATTGTGACCTTACTTTCCTGAGGACATGGTATGTGGAGGAGTTGCTCTTGCCTTGTACCTGTTATCAGTCTGCCAGAGGACAGCAGTCTCTAACTCTCTCAAGGTGTACCCTGTGACCTCATCCTCTCTGGCCCAACCCAGGGACCCCACAATTATCCACTGTAATCACCCAGAATACCTCTTGTGAGGGCATGTCCAGCCTTGAGCTCTCACTCCTGAGTCTTTTCTTAAGCAGCAATCTTCACCCCCACAGGGAAGGAGCCGACAGGAGATGCCCAGGAACCTTTATGAATGGAAACAAACTCCTCTGAGATTGTTACAGAGAATGACTCTCCCTAAATACAGGTCAGGGTGAAACACAGCAGGGTTACCTGCAGGCCGACGGGTGTGCCCTGCCTGTGTGGTGAAGGCTGACTGAGAAGGCGAGCCTCGCGGGTCCCTTTCTGTCTGTGGTGGAGGCCAAGGGTCAAGGTTACCACCTTTGTGAGTGGTTCCTTTGACACCAAGGCTGGGAGGGACCGGTGAAATGCAGCAGTCCAGCCCATAGGCCAGCTCACATCAGATGTCAACAGAAGATGCCAGAAAGGAAGGCACAACCTTTCTTCTACGGAATAACACATCACTTGTAAACACCTAAGAGTGATTTTCTTCATCTTCTTCTCTTGATGCCAAGAATCAAACCCAGAGCCTCACTCACACCGGGCAAGCATTCCACCAGTAAGTTATGTAGCGGCCCAAGAGTGCATTTTGTAAACTTTTTTGGCTTCCATTGACTACAGGTTTCTACAATACTTCAGGGCCAAAGGGAGGAAATCCTGGCTTTACTACCTGTGCCTGCCAGAGCTGCTGAGGCAGACTCATGAAGCAAAACCCTCCTCAGGGAGGGCTGGGGGATCCACTTAGAGTGAGGGACACAGCCGGAGTCACTGAGTCATGGACTCCAGGCACAACACCATTAATAACCTCTCCCTTAACTTTGTTTGTCTCTGCAGAAACACGCGGAGGCATCACACTTTCCAGAAGCTGGGGACCTGTGATCATTCCTGGCCATCGGAGAAAATGAGATTAGGTGAGTTTAATTCTTCTTCTCAGAAAGTCCTCACTGTAATAAATGGCTCCTCGGTGACCTTCGTCCCTGGGCTGGACTGCTGCATTTCACCGGTTCCTCCCAGCCTTGGTGTCAAAGGAACCACTCACAAAGGTGGTAACCTTGACACTTGGCCTCCACCACAGACAGAAAGGGACCCGTGAGGCTCGCCTTCTCAGTCAGCCTTCACCACACAGGCAGGGCACACCCATCAGGAGATGGTACAAGCTTCAGAGGCCCCAGCTTGGGCTTTGCTGGATGTCCCCAAGGACTGCACACTGAGCCAACCCTGTGTGAGACTGACAGCAGCACCATAATCCAAGGATGAGGCCTGGAACACGTTCCTCCTCCCAGCCCTCAAGAGGTGCCCCTGCTGCTGTGACCCTGACCTTGAGGGAAGTGCGAGCGTGTGTGTTTGTGTGTGCGTGCATGCGTGCGTGTTCAAGCACACGCATGTTTGACAGGGGTTTCTGTATTTCGGGAAGGCATCCAGCTCCTGCAGAGCTGACTTTGGAATGCTGCAGTGGTGTCTGACACCCAAGGGCCGTCAGTGTTTCTGGGTCCCATGATGGGGAGCCAGCTCAGCATCTGTCCCCACAGGTTAGGTTGCCCCTGGAATTGTCACATTCAGCCACAGCCTTGCACAGTCGAGTGCTGCTGTGGAGCTGGCTCTGACCGGAAACTGGGGGAAAGAAAGGGTAGATCCGGGAGGAGCTGGTCACGGAAGTGAATATGATCAAAACATGTCTGAAATTCCCACGTAGCTATAAAATGTTTTTTAAAAGTTCTTTAAAAAATATTAAGAGAGCCTGAGAGAGATTATGAGACGAGCACCACTACAGAGGCCCATAGCTGATCGCTCCCTCACAGACCCACTTCCGGCCTCCAAAACGGTGAGAAAGTACCCGGATGCCAGCCTCTTAGTGCGTGCCCGTAAGTACATCCAGCAAAGTTGTTAGGATTCACTAAAAGACTTTTGCAGGCTGGCTTCAGATGGCCCCATCAGTAAAGTACTTGCCGTGTGGGCCTGAGGAACTGTATTCTGTGCCCAGAACCCATGTCAAAACCAGGCTGTGGTGCCATGTGCCTGTGTTACCGTCCTGGGGAGGCAGAGCACTGGATCTCTGAGGTTTGCTGCTTACTTCGTGAGCTCCAGGCCTATGACTGACCCTCCCTTTATAAAAACAAGCTTCATGGCTCCTGAGGAATACCTGACACTGACCTTTGGTACACATGCACACAGGCACGCACGCGCATGCACACACACAAATGGAATGGCTATGATGGAAAAGAATCCATATGAGCAACGATTTCAAACAGAAGTTAATACAAAGAAGGAGGTGCAGAAATCTTTGTTAAATAAAAATTTTAAAGCCAACATCCACATGAGTCAGTCTATGAATTATTCGTGACTTTTGACTCTCCAGCCATGTGGCAGTAGAGGAGAAGGAAGCAATCCTTTAAAAAGCCTAAATGTCATTACTTCTCCCTCTCCCTGCCTGGACTCTTCTAATTGTATCTAAATTGTTTCCTTCGTTCCTCTCTCAATAGTGTGATGTGGCAGTGCCCAGGGCCTTCAGCTTTCTCATCAATTATTAATCTGGGAGTTAATAATTCATGTTAATTGGTGCTATAAGCACTTTCTCTGGCAAATGTGAGCAAAGGTCACGACTTTTAACAGCGAAGGCGAAACATTCCCCAAGTTTCTTTTTCCATGTCCTATCACGGAAACGCTAAGATAGGGAAGACAAAATTTAACCAGAGCTGGGAAAGCGAGATAACGCCACAGCTGAAAGACTAGATGCCCGCTCACTGGAGACCAGCCCTGCTCCACAGCCTGCTCGAAGGAGCAGAGGTCTCCAGGGCACCAGGACCTCAGCCCACTGGAGCTCCCTGGACAGACGCCCTCACGCACCAGGTTTGTGGACCTCTGGCAAGATGATGAACAAAATAAGTGGAAGCGCCTGATCCCTGTTTATCAAGAAAGCGTTTCTTCAGAAAATCAAGGGAGGTGTTTGAGAGCCCTCTCATGGGGTTTTCACAAAGGATGCCTTTTCTAAGCTGTAAGACCAGACAGCACGTTCCACCCTGGGGCAGCCATGGGAGGAACCTCACTACCACTGAGTGTTTTGGACGTAATCAGTGTACGTATGCTCTGTGTTCTCTTTCTGGGAAGAAGGAGAGGTGACTCCTCATTGCCACAGAAGGCAATCAATAAATAGCTTCTTACTTCATCTATCCTGGACTCCCTCCTCAGCCCACTCCTTTGCCCCAGGCCTGCAAGGCAGCCACGTAGGCCCTGGGCAATGTGGGTGTTTGATCCCCTTTGAGCCTCGATAATTATTTGAAAGGTTCATGTCAAGTCCCAGACTGATGTGATGAAATGGCTCATTCCCATTTGGAGAATAAAACTATTCCTGGTAGCTTTTTACGGCCTTGATTAAAAGATAGACATGAAGTATGCAGAGAATGAGAGCTACAGACTTGGGATGAGGCTTAGATGGAAACCACAGCTTCAAGACTGCCAGGGCCACGGGGCCAAGCCTCTACCTCCTGTTTTTCTAAGGGAAATGTGAGGAACATATGTTTTTCATTGCACCCCCTTTTGGCCATTTACATATCGGGGGGCTGTGTATTTGGCAATAGGTCCTATTTTTAGGACCTTGAAAACCTTTGAAACTGTTTTCCTTCTGGCACGTGTGTGCTTTAAGCAGAAAGAAAACATGAAGCTCAGAAAGGAAAAGAGAAACATGTGCACAGAAACGGATGATTTTTGCAGCCCGGCATCACACAATAAGAAAGCAATCATTCAGTTGCGACTTTAAAAATGGATCCTTGCCCGGATTTTCCGACTATTTCCTTCTAAATGACTGTTTCTCTACAGAACTAAACTAATGTAAAGAGACAGGTTGTCCCCGTGCCAGGACTGAGCAGGCAAAGTAGGACAGAGGCTGTTTTTAGGGAAGGAACATGGCGCAGTAATGCCTGCTCTGTCTCCTGCAGCCCCTTGGGCAGAGGCAGAGATGCCTCATGCCCACTGCATGGCTGTGGGCCCGTCTCCCACCTGACTCTACAGAGCCTACAGAACCCCAGTCCTATTATTTGCAATCAGTAACAAAGATTCATCCTGTGTCAGTCATACAACACGGAGAGTCTTTGTCACTCAGTGTAATTAATAGCCTTCGCCTCGCACGGGACGATGGGAGAACACTGTTTGTGACTCGGTGTCCTCGAAGGAGGGTTCACCAATCCTTGCCTCCTTGTGACCACTAACATGCCACAACTCCAGCCGCAGTGGAAAGAGGTGAGTACAGTGTGCTTGGTGAGGGGGCTGGCTTAGGGGGTACTCACTGGGGACCCGAGTTCAGTCCCTGGCACCCACATAAAAAGGCAGGTGTGTGCTCCGCATGCTGGAGAAGTACAGAGACAGATCCTGGGCCTCACTGGCCAGCCTAGCTGGATTAGCGAACTCCAGGCCAGGGAGAGACCCTTACTGAAGAGTGACCGGGCCAGAGAAGCCATACCCAACGCTGACCTCTGGCCACCACACTCACAAACCTCACATGCACACATACTCACACATTCATCTATGCCTGGACACACACTGTCATGCACATGTGAACACACATTCAGGGAGAGACCGAAAGCTCTCCAAGGACCTACATCAAACTGCGCTACCTCAGGAGCCTGTCAGAAGGTGACAGGCTCAGCTAAAGACAGCACTGAAAACACACGTGAAGGTCCAGAGACAGGGGCCTTACACCACTTACACAACTGTTATGCCAAGTAATAAGACAACCCCCCCCCCCCACACACACACACACAGACATGCCTCCACGGCAATCTGAGCTGGGCAGTCCCTCACTGAGATTACCCTCTCCGGCAACCATTGCCTGGGTCAGCTCTACAACTAAAGCCAACTGGGGCGCTGTGCTTCATGACACATATGCCATCTTGTTAAATGGAATTCATTGTGCACTGAAAATAAAAAGCTCTGCAAGCACGTTTAACGCCTACTCCCAGCACACCGCTTTCAGCTGGCGCATCCAGGTATTCAGGGAACGTCTGCGCCTTCCACCCAAACTCCTTCTTGCCCAGGGTGTTGCTGACAGTCTGGACGGCCTGGTCTGTGTGTGTACACGTGTGTGCACACACATACGTGCGGTGTATAGACGCACGGGAGCACGTGTGTGGAGGCCACGGTTGGTGTTGCGGGTCTCCCTTGACCTCTCTTCGCCTATTCTTCGAGGCAGGGCTCTCCGTTGACCAAAGAGCCCTGTTAGTCTAGCTAAGCAGCTTGCTCCGAGGACCCCGTCTCT